TTCAATACCTCTGTGTTCTCCAAACAGCTCCCTTTGGTCGATGGAAAGACAGACTGCAACTCCCATACATGGCCTCTGCCATCACGTTGTAGGATTTGCACTGATTTTGTTCTCCTTAGCTTCATTGGTAGCAACGTTCGCTTACTCGACCTTGTCCTCTGACTTGCTGGGCTCCCTTAAGCGAATATGGGCTCTGGAGTAGTCTAACTCTCCAGCTGCTTTGATCATACCTTTGTATGATCAAGTCCCTCCCCTGGGACTCACTAGTACTTGCATTCGAACTTTTCTCTTGGTGGAACATAGCCCCCATATGTTGATGGCCAAGGCCTTCATCCGATGCAAAATTCGATGCACGCACGGAAGATCCACCTCTACGGTACCATGGCCTTCACTCTTTGAATCCATAGTCATTCTTACCGTCATGTTGTTCACCGAAGTGGAGCTTCCAATAGCTCCCGATCATACCTCCATACGATCTAGTCCCTCACGGGACTATATCGTGTGTATCGTATTGCCACAAACTATTCCACCATGATCCGTTGCACCATGTCGCCTCCTGGTGACATCTCTATTGCATTTTGATCCTTGTGGGATGAACTCGAATTGTGATCCCTCCATGTGTGGCCTCTGCCAATACATTGCAGAGTCTCTTCCACCTTCGATTTTGTTCGCTCCTTTAGCAATCGACCTTCATCCACCCACTCTTGGGTCACACCTAGATGAAGCACCGCTCTAGGACAGTCCGTTGCCTAGTAGCTCTCAAAGTCCCCCGACTTCGCTGGAATTAGTGCACCATTGTTTGGATCCTGGGCCTCTACCCCTACTAGCACAATCTTCGCTCCACACCGCTTCCTTCATGGCAACTTGAATAGAAACACTATGGCATATTCTTCAAGAGTACCCACCTCCGCGTCCTCTTGCCCCGTGCCAAGGCCTTCTAAACTCAACTTCGCCTCCGCAAATTGAGTCGCCTTAGTTCCTCCATCAAATGCTTTTCTGAGATAAGGTGCATGTGCCCAAAAGCTATCTTCATCTTTGGCACCATGCAAGATGAGTCTGCTCCGTTAGAATGAAGGACCCATGAAACAACATGATCCTACTCTTGCCTCTGCAAGAGTTCATGTCCTTGACCTTTGTCCAAGGAAAGCATTGTGCCTCTGCTCCATGTTCCATCTTCTATGCTAGCTCCCTTCATGTAGCTTGGATACTTCGCTAAGTTACACCCAAGTTGCTCCGCTCCTCGTTTTGCATTAAGTTGATGGTGGCCCTCGCGCCCACCATTCCACGGGTCAGCCCTCCCTTGAGTCGGATCTCCATATTGACTCCAATTGTGCCTACCGTTGTGTTGCTTTGGGTCTCTCCCCCGCTTGATCTCGCAATGCATTCTCTCGAGCGAGATCATGTGATGACTCCTCGCCGCTTGTTCAGTCCATTGAGCTTCGTGGAGTTGTTGTGTGTTGAGATTCTCCTCCTCAACATGTGAGGTCCGTCCCACATGATTCTCCCTCTAGAGAGCCGGGACTTATCTCTCATGGATAACTATCCCATTGGAGCAACATCTCTCTCCGTTTCGGAGACCATCATCCCCTTGGACTACTCCGATTTGCTGAATAAACTGTGCATTATTCTGCCTCCTGCAAACGTACTTGCTAGATTGCGACTCCATGTCAATACAGCACCCGCTGCACCACTCGAGGCCTAGCAATATGCTGAACTTGTTACACACTTCAGCCTCCTACAGATGTATCCTTCACATGCCGAAGAGAAAGTTTCAATGCTCCATGGCACCAAGTTTCGGTCGCCTTGGGATGGCCTCGAACATTCCATTGTCCGCATACAAGCCCATGTATGAGTATCAAATTCTTTGAGTTAGCAATTCCCCTTACCTCTGCGAGCTTTGCACAACTCTTACGGTCGCTAAGCAACTCATTCCACTTTACATGGTCTCATCCTTTACCAAGCACCTCGCTTGCCTTGAGTACCATCAAGTATAGTTGTCAACGTTGAGCCGTAGCTCAAGCTCACCCATCCCAACCTTTGTGCGCTCCGCATTCTTCCAAGCTTGCCTGTTCTCGTGGTGTCTCTTGCGCGAAGGGTTGGTCATTCCTCTGAATGCTAATCTTATATGCTCGCTCCTTCGAGCGACTCCTTTTCCCTACATCTCCATGCCGGTTTTCCCCCAAATGGTCGCGCGTGTGCTGACTGCTCTCAACGCAGCCCCGCTAGGTCCCCCACGTTTGCATGCTAAGTGTTTCTATGAGTGCTTGTCCCACTCTGATACCATCTATCATAGACTTAGCTAGTTTTGCCTAAGTCGTGCGATACCCTTGCGTGTCCGTCCGCAAAGGTCAACCTCTTTAAAGCCTCCCATGGTCCCTTAGGACCCACAAAAGAGAAAACGGGTTAGAGAAAATGCCTCACTCGGGATCCACAAGCAAACATTCCAGGAAACACTTCATAGACAATGCAAATTATAAACAGACTTTACAAGCTATTGCACAACAAATGATCAAAATAGTCCATTACAGACCGAAAATCTCTCACAAGTGTCCACATTACATAACCCTTATTTACAAGCTTAAAGCGGCCACCAAACCCAACTAAAATGAGACTATTAAGTCTTCAGCTGTCCCTCTATATGCTAGGCAAAGTATGAACATACCAAAAGACACGGACATACATAAGCATTACATCAAACATTCTATTTAGAAGTTTGTCTGTGGCATTTCGGGATTGATTTAAGTGAAAATGCCCTACTAAGGTCTCATGCAAGTTTGAAAGTTTTTTTTTAGATAAAACATGAATGAAAATTAATATATTTAAAAAAAATTATATATATTTTTTAGAAGGAAGCAAACAATAGTATAACCATGTCAGAATACAGTGGAACTGAATATTCTTCAAAATTTATGCAGAACATCTATGAAACACATGGACTTGTGAAAATTATTTCTAAATTCTACTTATTTTGGCAAACTATAGAAATATATGAACCAATATAACGATAAAATGAGTTATAGACGATAAAGGTTTTACAAAGGGAGAAAAACAATGAACCATATCATAAGCTAACATAATATTAAAAAGAGTGTTTAGGTCAAATAAGATATTTAAATAGCATTCTCTTTATAAAAACCCAGAAAGATTTTAACCTCTAAACAATTATGAAATGATCAACAACTAACTAAAACAATAATATACTTAGTGAAGGGTTTTTATCTTTTTGATTCAATGCTCTAACACAAAAACCCAACTCTTTAAAGACACCATAACAAGGACAAAAGAGAAGGAAGGAAAATAAGAATAAAATAATAGATAAATATAATAGAAGAAGAAGGATAAGAAGAAAAGGAGATGGAGGTCTTTATTGAGCTCAGCACCAGCCACCTCCTGTGGAGAGTAACCCATATCTTTCCTCAATTAGGTTAAACCCCTCGCGGATCATATTGGATGGAGTAAATAAAGTTGAACAGGCGATTCAAAAGATATGGTTTTGGGCTTAAAAAAGAGATCTTTGTTGTTCAGGGTGTAAAACAGTCAATATATTTATTTACAAAAATAAATGGAAAAGAAAAAGGCTAATTGAAAAAAAAGAAGAAAAAAAAAGTTTGCATATATAAGTTGGTTTGTGATTTTGAAGATAATAAGTTTCAGTCTCAGCATATTGCCTTTTTAACCCCTTCCAAACTTGATTGGATTATAATTCCCAGTACAATGTAAACCAAAATGATACTTAGCCCTGACATTACCTAAGTAATTAATAATTTCCTGTTTTTGGATAAAATCCACACACAAAAAAAAATAATTAAAAAAAAATTGGATCAATGACGGCTTTGCCAATTGAACCAACACAAAAATGATTTCCCGTGGTAACCTAATTGTAGGAGGCTTTAACTAATATTGAACAATGACAGATTTGCCAATTAAACCAATATTCTATTGCTGGTACAAGGAACTAGCTCATGCATTGTGAGGAATGAAATGAGGGATGCATGCATAAAGCCAATGGTGATCTTGCCATATTCTGCAGAAACTTTGGTACTCGACGGTTTATACACGGATCACTAGGTCGAGGACTAATGTTGGGTCCAGCCCATATGTGGGCTTGGACAAACTGGGCCGTTTGAATCCAAAAGAAATTAAAAAGAGAAAAAAGAAGACGAGGAAAGAGATCATATGGCAGCGGGTGTATTGGCGAAGGGAAGAGGAGAAAGAAATAAAGAGAGAAAAATTAGGTTTCTAAGTTTTCTGTTTGATGATCTATCAAACGTTTTCGATCCAAATTTTAAATGGAGAATCCATAAAGAGGAACCCATGAAGAGGAATCCATAAAAAGGAACCCATTTTGATTTATAAATAAGGAAAATATTTCGCTTTAACAGGTTTCCAACAATGACCTTTGGTACTCGACAATTTATATACGGATCACTAGGTCGAGGACTAAGACATCTGGTTACACGCTACAATGGCCTTCAACGCCAATCTTCTCCTCGTCACGGCATTCCTGTGTCTTCTGAGCGTCCACCATGGACGCGCCTGCTTCCCGGCCATCTTCAGCTTCGGCGACTCGCTGCAGGACACCGGAAACTTCATCAACACCTTTGCCAACACCACCATCAGCAAGCATCCATGGGGCATCACCTACTTTCATAAGGCGACGGGCCGCTACAGCGATGGCCGTCTGATCATCGACTTCATCGGTCTGTGGTCGCTTCCTTTAGAAACTCGACGCACTCCTCTCTTTGTTCTTGTTCCTGACATGGTCTAGGATGCCGGTGGCGATACTTGCAGCACAAGCGCTTGGGCTGCCGCTGGTGCCGCCGTATCGTGGAGGAGGAACTTTCTCACGTGGAGCCAACTTCGCCTTCGGAGGGGCCACGGCGCAGGACCGGAAAGCCTTGGCCGGTCTTGGACTTAATGTTACTAGCTTTATGGACAGGTCCTTGTTCGTCCAGATTGGCTGGTTCAAGGATCTGCTTAAATCCGTGCCATCCCTTGCGGGTAAGATTTCACCGACTGAAAGTGTCATCTATCTTAGCTTCCGATGAGAGAGAGAGAGAGAGAGAGAGAGAGAGAGAGAGAGAGAGAGATTGACAGTCGTCGATTCTTGGATTGCCAGATCGCACGTTCTTGGGCAACTCGCTGTTCATGATGGGAGAGATCGGAGGCAATGACTTCAACGCGGCGTTGTCCCAGAACAAGCCGATAGAGAACATAAAAAATGCATTTGTTCCCGGTGTGGTCCGAACGATCAGCTCCGGTATCACTGTAAGTGTAATAACACGGTGAACGCTTGTTGTTGAGGAAGCTTTAATTTCTTCCATCTTTTTCACTTCATGTTTTGAACGCAAGACTTTAATCGAGCTCGGCGCCAAGAACTTCATCGTTCCCGGAAACCTACCGATTGGCTGCATTCCGGCGTGGCTGTCAAAGTATAAGAGATCAGATCCTGGTTACTACGATGCAAACGGATGCATCAAATGGTTGAACGACTTCTCGCAGTATTACGGCAGCAAGCTGCAGGATGAGCTGAACAAGCTCAAGAGAGCTCATCCGGAAGCGAACATCTACTATGCTGATTACCATGGCGCCGGAATGAGGTTGTTCTCCAATCCAAAACAATTCGGTGAGCTTCCTCATCTTCCATGAACGCAACCTATGTTGTTCCTCTGCGGCTCGAGTGATAGCCACCCTCTTCGGTGATCTCTTTCTCTTCTCCTTCCTCTATTTCCACTTCAATTTCCAGAGTTAAATCTTTGAAGAAAGGTCTAGAAAAGAACAAGTTTGCTGGGATTTCGAGGTAGGAGTCCTCGTGAACGACTACACTGGAGGAAGACCACAATCCAAACTGCAGTTGGACAAAACACACTGCAATTCTACTCAGCATATTTAGATTTCCTCTTTGGTAGGCATAGAAGACCACTCTTCTAGGAAATCTAAATATTGACAAGAAGCAATATCATCATCTCCTCTTTTTTTTTATCCTTGCTCAACAGAATGTCTTGTCACGGAAATGGTATTCTTTCCATCTTCACTCAGTAATTACTCTAAAGCCAATATAGCCAACATCTAACCAAAAAAAATAACATCTTACTTTCCTCTTTTAAGGACAATTCGTTGTAAAAAAGGCAAAAAAAAGTGATTCGGCTTCATGCAATGATTAACTAATTAAGTTGAAATCATTAATTCAAAATATTTAAGCTCATGTTCGTGACAGTATACATATAAAGCTAAGTCAATTCAGGTCCTTACTCACTTTCATGTATGACTAAATCAGACCTTTTTTTTCCTACTATACATACCTCAACCATCACTCTGTTGCATTCGACTCATTGACTTCAGATACGTAAACTCAAATTCTTATAATAATAATATACGTACCAAATTCTTATAATCCAATTTAAATCACTCCCCATGTTAGATTAAACTATCCTCCATCAGAACTCCTTATATTGTCGTTTATCTAAATATATAATTAATTAACGTGGATTTATTTGTGTTGTTGCAGGTATTGCAGAACGATTCGTTGCTTGCTGTGGAGGCAATGGTCATGGGTGCGATGAGACTGGACCTGTTTGCAGCAATCCATCAACCTTTGCCTCTTGGGAAGGATTCCACCCAACCGAGGCATTTTATCATGCCGTTTCTGATGGACTCATCAGCGGGCCATTTGCTATTCCTTTGTTGAAGCAAACCTGCTCAAAGCATGCTCAAAAGAGAGCTTACACGTTGCATTATTAGCCATGACACATGATAAGTAGACCAAAAGATGCAAAGGCTGCAGTTCGCTGAGAGAATACGATGCTCAGAAACCATTGTTGAGGCTGCAGACATATTTCAAATAAATCTTCATGCTTGTTTAATGATTGGTACATCCAAGTTCTCTTTCTCTCTCTTTTTTTCTGTCTTTGCTCTGTGTGTGTTCACAAGTGAAGACCACATTTGATTCAGCTATGCTTTATTCACCATGGATCAATTAAGAGCAGCCATTCCACCACTAAAATCTTCCTAGGAACCAAATGTTGACCTCGGACACAATCAAGGGTAATCGAAATCATGTGGTGGAATGACCAAGAAAATTATTACATGCGAAACCTAGATGCATGAATATATACGAAGGATGGATTAAGATTAGTCCCATATTATTATATATATATATATATACATACATATATATATACATACATATATATATACTGGTGGTTTTCGTTTTTCATCATCATAGATAAAAATATTGAAAATAGAACTTTTGAAATTTGAGAAAATGTGATGAATAAATGATAGAATGATTTCATTTGCTATTTCGGGCTTATACTTAAAATATTGTCAGTGATTTCTGTAGTAATTTATAGGATTGTTATTTTTTGTTAGCCTGAGTTGAATTAGGATATTTATAGTTTGTAACTTTCTCAATATATTGTCTCTCACCAAAAGAGATTATGGTAGTCATTAAGGTGTCTAGGTAAACTTTGATGTCAAGTAATTCATGTTGAAAGGACTCAAACCTTTTATTGGGACTGCGTAAAAGTTAATATCTTTATCTATCAATCAAAAGATGCTTACAAAGCTGATCACTTCTAGTAGACATGGTAGAGATACCAAATAATCAACCCTAAAGCAATGCTTAACATGATGGGAGAATTGGTAGGATGGATAAAAAATAAAAAGATAGCAAAGACATAAATAGAAAAAGTGAGAAAAACTTGATTTTGTAGAAATGTTAATTTAGCCAATAAATAATAAATGTTGGAGCTCAACACGTACCTCGATGGTTAAGGAGGAGCACTTTGAACATCTAATTGAACAGAAGAGAAGAAAAGAAGATAAGAGATTATGATATGATGTTTAGCAATCGATCAAAGGGTCTTTGTTACAAGTTGGTTGAGGAGAGGACATGAGAAGAAAGGAAGGTAAGAGATAATCTTAGACTTGCTTCAAGTCTTCTGACTCAAAAAACTTATAGTCTCATAATTGACCTCTTTATTGTTGATGTTGATAGGAAGAGAGGATAGAGATATCAAAATAGAGGAAGAGTATGACAAACTTTAATCTTCTATATTTCTCTCATGAAAAACACTTTTACAATTTCAGAAACTCTATTTCTCTCATGACCCAACATATGGGGTTTATATAGTCCCCAAAGATACATTATATTAATTGTATTCAAGATGAATCATTCTCTTTCAAGAAACCCTTTCAAGAACCAATAACCAATTTGACTTATCCTTCTATAGACTTTTAATCCAATTTTTCTTCTTGATGTAATGATTCTCCCACTTGATGCAATGAACCTTGTTATGACACTTAAACAAGTTTAATTCCAACATTTATATAGTTCACAAACATAAGAGAAAAAAGAAAGTAACTAATAAGAAAGAAACAAAAATCATCTTTTAATCTTGTAAAATAATCTTTCTTGTAAGATAATGATTCTTATAATATTCTCTTTTATTTATTTATTTTATTGTTAATGTAGGAAATAAGATCTTAACTGCCTAGTAGGATGTTGTCAAGTGGCAATCTTAAAACGTTAATTAAACTCGAATCCAAGTTTATCATCAATCCAAAATGATTCGAGTCAGCATTTTTTTTCTTTTCACATCTGTGAAATGTAGCATGATTTCCTTAAAAGATTTAACGTAAAGGAAAAGAGTACAGTGTAACATTTAGAAACCATTGTCACTAATCCACTAAAATTATTTTGAAAACAACAAACTGAGTTGGAATGACTTAAATATTGAATAAATATATAACCCTTTTTCGCAATCAAAGTGGTCATTTTCAATCACCAAAATATCACCACTCGAATGCTTAGAAATTTCTTTGACAGCAAGAACATCCATCCACATGTGGTGATAAGTTAATGATTCTTATCACGTACAAGTGCTCTCTACAAACTTGTGTGGCTTCATGCGGTAGGCACACCTCTATCATATCAAACACTTGCAAGTTGTTTCAAGTCACTCTCGATGTAAGAATAAATTGTTAAGAGTGTTAGAAGATTTCCCAAAGCATCTGAGTTGGCTTATAGGATAGTAACGGATTCATTCTGATGCCAAAGCATCATTCATTCTGAGATATTCTAAAGCAGCCTCACTGCAGACAGAATAATGCTGGATTTCTCTACTGCTACATGTAGCTCTCCTACAGGTGATTCAAACTGCTCAAGCCACTAGAATGCAGATTGGAACATTAATGCACATCCATCCCCATCATCGCATTTGATTATACGGCAATGATTTGTACAAATCCACTGTTCACCATGAGCTCCACCTATTCTTTGTTTGTACTTGTTTAGCAAGAAAACATTCCTCTTGTAATAATGTTGGAAAAGCATCAGATGCCAACAGGAAATTTTGCCTATATGTCCTCCAATGTCACAACTCCTCTATAACAGTGTACAGCTTTTCTATATTTTTGCAAAGGTAAATAAGAATTTTATTTAGGTATCCACAAGTATATATCTATATTTTTGCAAAGGTAAATAAGAATTTTATTTAGGTATCCACAAGTATATATCTATATTTTTGCAAAGGTAAATAAGAATTTTATTTAGGTATCCACAAGTATATATCTATATTTTTGCAAAGGTAAATAAGAATTTTATTTAGGTATCAACAAGTATATATCTATATTTTTGCAAAGATAAATAAGAATTTTATTTAGGTATCCACAAGTATATAGTGGTGGTATCACACAGAAGCCTCCACTGCAAATATACCATTCAGAAACAGAAAATTATGCAGGAATGAAATTGGTAAAAGAACACCCTATTTCAGATATACAATAAATTATATTCTGAACTTTTATCTTCTCCTTGCTCTCACTTTCAGCAAATGCATCTTTGCTGTTGTTGTTGTCTTTATAAATTCTACAAATCACTGGAAAACTAAATGGACTGTCTTGGACATTGTAGCTCTAGTTCTTTTGTATTGGTCTTCCTAATTGTCCTTGTGGTATATTTTATTGAATGAGATTGCAGTTCTCATTTGATAAATCTTTTATTTATGACAAACTAGTGTTTTAATAACATATAGTATTTTACACTTCAAGCATTAAACCCTAGTTTTTTTTCCCATAAACTTCTGGTTTCATTGGTAAGTTAAGGTATTTTATATACCTTCTTGATTGGATATAAGTCAAACTTGAGTTATTTATATTGGTTATAGAAATCATAAGTAGAAGAGAGAGAGAGAGAGAGAGAGAGAGAGAGAGAGAGTATATTATT